TTTATCTCATTTAAGAAAACGTTCAAAAACTTTTATAGGAACACATTTAAGGATAGATTTTTTTTTTAAATTAATTCTGCTTGACCCCATTATTCTATCCTATCTACCAGATATTGGATATAACTATTCTCTGGAAAAATAGGAAAAGAAAAAACTTTTATTTAAACAAGAAAACGCTGCCATCATCTGGGCATAGATGAGCACCATTGATATGCCACCTGCTGTGCACTGAAGAATTTCACAATGTTGTTACTCAACTAGCAAAATATCTTCATTTGATGAGTTTTCTTAACTAAAAGAAAAAATCAACATGGATAACATGTAATGAAATAAGATAAAGAAATGCCAGATTTTTATATTTAATATTTTCAGAGCTTAACAAATATATTGTTCAGTTGTTAGATCTTTGGTTTTTAACTGGCAGAAGAACACCTGCACTAAAACATAGAAGACATGCAAACCAAAGAGAGTAAGGAGCTTTGGTAGCATTGTGCCTAAGGCACTTGACTGCTAACCAGAAGGCTGGCGGTTCAAACCCACCTGCCACTCCTTGGAAGGAAGGTTGGGCAATCCTACTTCCATAGTGATACTGCCTCGGAAACCCAACGAGGGGTCGCTATGAGTCGGGGGTGACTCCATGGCAAATACCAACCAACCAAACCAAACCAAAGAGATTTTATTCAGGACATTGATAAACCATGACTAATTGAAATATTAAAACAAATAAGAGTGAATAATTGGCCTATATTAAGAAACAAACAAACAAAGAATATTTTCCAAATTTAATGATCAGATTCCTGATATTTACGCAGCTTGCTGTCTTGCTTCACTCAGGTCCTTATTCAAATAGCATCTCTCAAAGAAGTTTTCCTGACCCATCCTGCTGGATGCACAAGTCTACTCTACTCAATCATTCTTGCTGTCACCATAGCTAATAATGGACATAATAGCTACTAATAGACACAAGCTGTGTGCCTTCCTCGGGGGATGATTGCCCTCTGAGAGACCTGAAACTCCCTCAGTGGGATAAAGGAGGAAGTCTTGTTCTCCAACACTAGTCTAGAATAGCTGATTAGAAGATGACCCCTCACCCTGAACAAGTACAATGAGTAATGCCAATTGCCCACAGGGGGCCTTCCCTTTTTATTACTTTTTTTCCTTTTATTATCCCTTTCTCTTTTTATTTCCCCTACTATCTTTCTGCTGTTTGTTAAGTGATCACGGTGGCTTACTTATGTTTTAAGGTGGCTTACTTATGTTTTAACACCGACAGATAGGGGCTTCTGGGTTCCCCATCCATGGTGCAAAGCTGCACACACTTGGATGCAATTGTAACATTCCCACCCTGGAATGAAAGCCTAACTTGGGGGAACCTTATCTGATGATGGGGATAGCTGCTCTACTCATATCTGGCTGTTTATTCAGTGAGTGATAAATGCCTGTTGATCACACTATTAGAACAGTCTGATCTGTGTTTTGCTGATAATGGTCCTTCACTCTAACAATTTACAAACTTGGTACATGGCACAGACTGTTTAAAATAGCAGAATGTAGGTTTAGAAAAGAGTGAAGTTCTGAAAAATAGAGGGAAAAAAATGAAAATTTAGAAAAATAAAGTATAGGTGTACTCACATACACAGACACATGCATATGCAATAATTTTACTGGAATCATAAATAATTATAATCATTAGCAAGGTCAGATATTTTAACATGGGCTAGTTGGATTCAACTCAGTGGCAGTGAGTTTGGTTTTTTTTGGTATCTTGCCAAAAGATATAAGCAATTTCTGTCAATGAAATCAATGTAGCCATTGCTGTTTTCTGTGGTAAAGTCCTAGGGTAAGTTCAAATATGTACATGAATATAATTATAAAAAAGGGAGAATTTTGATAAAATATTTTATTATTATTAATAATATAATCAAGGTTACAAAAATAACAACTTTATTAACTACAGAAACGTTATAATACAGTAATAACCACAGTGTTCCCTTTTTTTGGGTAAGCATACAGCTATACCACCCAATAGGCAGCTTATCAGTTTCCTATTTACACACTAGAGGAACAGTCATAACATCCACAGTATTCCATTTTCAGTTTCTTAAAGATAGAAACTTTCTGTACAAATGGAAATGAAACTACTTAAAAGTTACACTGTCAAGATTTTAAGCTCCAAAGAGTTTTAACTATTTGTTATTATTGTTGCTTTTTTGTTTTCTTTTGTATTAGTAACTTTTTAGTTTTAAACTCAGATGAATTTTGAAAGATAAATTCTTTTTGGACTTTATCATGAAGAGTAATTTATTTACACAAACACTGTATATTCATATTCAAATTACTTTATTTTCTGTATAAACTTGTTAATAAATATAGAATATAATTGATTAAAAGTAGTTATTTTTTGAAGCTCTGTAACTCAATTTAAGATTTTTCAGGATGAGAAATCACTAAAAATATTCCTTACCTCATGATGTATAATATTACAAAAGCAGTGTTTCATTTTTAATTGATTGCCTGATAGCAATTTCCCACTTCTTGACAGTGTTCTTTTGAAGAAAATGCTGTGGCTATAACATTCATTTGTACAGTACCATTGGTACCAACAAGAAATATTCACAGGAATAAGTGAAATTCAGTTTTGCTATCACATGCCATTATTGTTATTTATTTTTTTGCCTTCCAGTGTCACATTTCCCATAGTTTGAAACACTTAGATAGCAAGCAAGAGCCTGTTAATACTAGAGACTGACTCAAAACAAACCATTTACTGAGGACCTGCCCACAGCAAATAGGCAAAAGTCATTACATATTTTACAATAAAACTAAAGAAGTATACAAAAGGATTATCATCCCTTCTGCACGGCAGAGGCATTATGACAAATATTTTAATTTTACATTTCTATTCCCAGTAGACATAAGAAAATGTCTGTAATTACAACATCATATAACCATTACTCAAGCAACTGAAACAAAAAATAACATTGAAAACTTTCCATTTTAAAGGTCATTTTGTCCATGACTCTAAATGAAGTGGATTTGGAGGTAAATTGGGCTTTTTCATCTTTTGTAACTTGTTAAGACAAAGTAAATATATATACTCAGTGAATAACATCTTTCACCAGAGAATAATGGAATGATTATGCCCCTCCTACCAATGTAAAGTCACATGGATCTTGTTCAACTTTCATTGTCGATTCCACTTATCTCCCTCTATCACAAAGGAAACCTCCCCTAGACAGAAGAATTGCTTTATACACATTTCAAGATTTATTGGTCCTCTTTTATCCTCTAATTAAGTTGAAAACACTGAGTTCAAAATGACTTAGAGTAAACTTTGTCTGATATCTGGGTAGTCTCTATCACTCTTTATATGGAAATTTAGAGGGAAAGATACAAAGGAATTATTTTTAAAGGGAGTATTTTTAAAGCATTAATATTTGTCTAAATGTTTTACAAATATCATTAATATATGAATTAACAATATGTGGCTAAGTCAGAGAAAGAAAAAAGAGGCAAATTATGTAAAAAAGTAATTCAGTATTTAAACAATATGCCTTTAAATTTTCCATATGTCTTGATCAAAATGGTGTGTTACATAAGAGAAGGAGAAATGCAATAGCTAAGATGGTGTGGACTGACAATTTAGAGTTCTCTTCACTTCCACTTACGTTTGATATCAGCACGTGCCATTTTCAAAGAAATACGGCACTGTCTGGATAGGTGTATCTGAAGTTTGATACTCTGTGGATTAAGCTGTGTAATAAAGTTAAAGCCATTTGATTAAAGACTGAAGTCTGCTGTCAAGGTTTTAGAGCACTGCTCAGATCCCTAGCTTTAACAGAGACCATTAAAAGCGATCAAGTCATAGAAAATATTACAGTATTCAAATGATTCAAAATGTTATTTTAATATCTTTTGAACTGGAAGATTTTGTAAGAATTCAGAATGTGTACAATATTATTCTTTGTTTTCCTATTTCTTGAAAAATATATGATCTTTGACCAATTGTGACAAACAAACAGATTAATATGATAACTTGACTATTATGATATTCAATAAAGAAAATTGAATAAATGTTCCCATGGCATCAGGAAATATCTATGTAAAATGAAATAAGGGAAAATGGGGATATCTTAATAAAATATAACATTCAGCAAATTCAATCCTACTTTTCATAAAATAATTGAATACAGATTTTAGTCAAGATAGTTCCTTTTCTTCTTTTTACATGAGTAGAATTTTATTATATTAGGCTAAAATATTTCAAAATTGAGAAAATTATTCATTTTTTCTTCACTATGTACTTCAATCCATGAATTAATGAGAGACTTTTATAAAACCTTGGAGCTTTATGGAAATTTTCTCCTTAAATAATTTTTAAAACTATAAAGAAGGTGAGCTAAAGCTCAATCACAATATCAAGTCTTTAAATGAATTATATTTTATAACCAAAATACTTTTAAACTTCTTTATCTTGACACTTATCTAAGTATTTAAGAAATGACTTAGAAAAGTAGAGCTAGAAACATCTTGAATAAATAATTGGGTTAAATTTAAAGAAATAATACAAATATACATATTACACTGCTTCCCTGGAAGAACTAGATGTGACATAAAATAACTAGGATACCAAATATATGTAAACACATAGAATAGGCATTCTTTAACTCTGTAGATTATGACCACACCTTAAGTGCCAATCAGTGAAAGAAAAACTGCAGGTTATGTATGAAGGATGAGCTAGTCTCTTCCATCTACTTTTCCTTAAAATTTCTATTGCTGTTTAGAAATTTCTGTTTTTTCATAAGGAAAAATTACAGGTACACACTTCTAAATTGTTTAGGGATTACATTTGATACAACACAATTTGAACTCTAACGAATGCATGTGTGTACCAAAGCATGTGGGTATAAGTATATATATGTTTGCAAAAGTATGTTTGTGTACTAGTATAGTAGAATATGGGGTGAGAAAATATGATGAAATTAACCTATTTTGTATGAGAGGGAATATAATTTAACATAGAGCTAAAATTTAAGGGCATAAGGTAATAAATGGTTGTGGTGAGGTTCAAATAACATTTAAATTATGGTTTATGCATTATTAAGAATCTAACCATGGAAAGCAGCGTAGATCTTTTCCATTAAATCTTTTCTCATCCATCAATTATACCTTTGCATTTTGTAATCCATTCAAGTATCTTCAGGAGATATGTTACTACACTTGCATGTACCTTAATTCACTTCAACATTTACAAAATAACACTGACAAACAAAACAATAGAAACACCCACAAATATTAATGAGTATCTTAATAAACTTGACACTCAAGTAGTTTTCTTAGGGTTGTTATAAGTGATGTTTTAATTCCCCACTCTCCGAAATCTTCATGTAAAAATAGAGCTCTATTGATGGAAGCTTCAGACACACTTCAGCTACGACTGTGGTACTTTATATGTTAATATAATTTTGTGTATCCATTTTGCATAATATGCTACTCGAACAAAAATACCAGGACGGTTTGGAATGGCACATCCACGACCAGGAACAATGACCCCAAGAACCATTCTCATTTTATGTTGTTCACAAACAAGTGGGCCACCATAATCCCCCTAGGAAGAAAACAAGATACAACAAGAACAATAAAATATTATTTTGGCAATTGAAAAAGAATAAGTCATTAAATTTATCCTCTATTAGGTTATACCTCAATTATATATGAACAACAGAGGAAATAGCTGCCACTGAAGTATAAAGACTGTGCATAATGGTTGCTCTTCTATGGAGTTAGTCAAATAAGACAGATAAGTGCACAACTCCAAAATGCTCTCTATGTATAGTAGTCACTTAAGAATGACTTTATCTTTTCTAAAATATTCATTCAGATTTTAAAGTGTATTTTGCCTTTGTCGAATGCAGGCTAATATACAGAACCATTATATTTGACAGATAATTATTTAATAAGGTAGAAATTTACATTCATTTTTATTTTCTTCTCATGTTCAACATATGTTCAATACAGAAAATTTGGAAAATGTAGAAAATATAAATAAGAAATAAACCCACTTTTAACCATATTATTGAGTACCTTAATAATTATACTGCATTAGGTTTTATCTTATTTTGAAAGATCTTTTTTTTCTTTTTTCCAACTCCACCCCCGAATGATCTAAAAAGTTAAACAAAAACTTGAAGTTGATAAAAGAAGACTAGGCAATCTATTTCCATAGTGATACCACCTCAGAAACCCAAGGAGAGGCTGCTATGAGTCAGATCCAACTCAACAGCAGTGAGTTTGGGTTTTGGTTTCTGTTGGTCTTAGAAATAATATAAATATAGAAAGGTACTTCATTTCTACAGAGCACTGTTGTTAGGTGCCACCAAGTTGGCTCCCACTCATAGCAACTTTACAATAGAACAAAGTACTACCAAGTCCTTGCAATATTGTTGCAGCCCCTGTGTCAATCCATCTCAGTGAGGGTCTTCCCCTTTATCTCTGACCCTCTACTTTACCGAGCAAGATATCCTTCTCTAGGGACTGGTCCTTTTTGACAACATGACCAAAGTACATGAGACAAAATCTGGCCATTCTTGTTTCTAGAGCATTCAGGCTGCACTCTTTCCAGGGCAGATATGTTTGTTCTTCTGGCAGTCCATGCGTTTTCAGTATTCTTTGCCTACATCACAAATTCAAAGGCTTCAACTCTTCTTTGGTTTTCCTTACTCATTGTCGAGCTTTCACATGCATATGAGGCGATTAAACATACCATGCCTTGAATTAGGCACAACTTAGTCTTCAAAGTAACATCTTTGCTCCTGAACACTGTAAAGAGATCTTTTGCAACAGATTTGCCAGTGCAAAACAAGGTCTGATTTCTTGAATGCTGTTTCCATGAGTGTGTTGGATCACCTTTCTCTGAAATGGGCATAAAGGTGAATCTCTTTCAGTGACTCAGTCAGAAATCTCTCCTCCAAATTCATTGGCATGAATGAGTAAGTGCCTCCTGCACTGCATCCATTTTTTGAAACATCTCCATGATATCCTGTCAGTTCCTGGAACTTTGGTTTTCACCAATTCCTTCAGTAGAGCATTAACTTCTTCCTTCAGTACTATTGGTTCTTGATCATATATTATCTCCTGAACTCTTTGAACATCGGCCTGTTGTTTTTGGTCCACTGACTCGGTGTACTCCTTCCATCCCCTTTTGATGCTTTCTACACCGAATATGCATCAGTACAGCAATATGAGGCTTGATTTTTTTCTTCAGTTGTTTCAGTTAGAAAAATGCCAAGAGTGTCCATCCCTTTGGTTTTCTAACTCCAGGTCTTTGCACATTTCACTATGATAATTGACTTTGTCTTCTCAAGCTGCCTTTTGAATCCTTCTATTCAGCTCTTTTATTTCAGCATTTCTTCCATTCACTTTAGCTACTCTCCTTTCAAAAGCAAGTTTCCAAGTCTCTTCTGACATCCGTTTTGTTCTTTTCTTCCTTTCCAGTCTGATAGATGACCTTTTGTTTTCTTTATGTATATGATGTTCTTGATGTCATCTCACAACTGGTCTGGTTTTTGTCATTGGTATTCAATGCATCAGATCTATTCTTCAGATGGTCTCTAAATTCAGGTAAGATATAATCAAGGTCATACTTAGGCTTTCATGGACTTGTATTAATTTTCTTCAGCTTCAACTTGAACTTGCATATGAGCAATTGGGTCTGTTCCACACTGTGCACTTGGTCTTCTTTTGACTGATGATATTAAGCTTCTCCATCACCTCTTTCCATAGGTATGGTTGATTTGAATCCTGTGTATTCCTTCTGGAGAGGTCCATTTGTGTAGTAACACATTAATGTTGTTGAAAAAAAGGTATTTGCAATGAATAAGTCATTGGTCTTGCAAAATTCTCTATCATGTGATCTCCAGCAGCATTTCTATCACCAAGGGTATAATTTTCAGATCAATGCTTCTTCTTTGTTTCCAACTTTTACATTCTAATCACCAGTAATTATCACTACATCTTGATTGCATGTTTGGTTAATTTCAGACTGCAGAAATTTTTCATCTTTGCCTTTAGTAGTTGGTGCATAAATTTGAATAATAGTAGTAGTAACTGGTCTTCCTTGTAGGCGTATGGATATTATCCTATCACTGACCGCACTGTATTTCAGGATAGATCATGAAATGTTCTTTCTGACAATGAATAAAACACCACTCCTCTTCAATTTGTCATTTCCAGTATAGCAGACCATATGATTGTCTGATTCAAAAAGACCAATCCAGTCCATGTCAGCTTACTAATCCCAAGGCATCAATCTTTATGCATTCCATTTCATTTTTGACAACTTCCAATTTTCCTAGGTTTATACTTCGTATATTCCATGTTCCAATTATTAATGAATATTTGCAGCTGTTTTTTCCTGTTTGGAGTCATGCCCCTTCAGCAAATGAAGGTACTAAAAAGTTTTACTCTACCTACATCATTAATGTCACCTCTACTTTAAGGAGGCAGCTCTTCTCCAGTCATATTTTGAGTGCTTTCCTTGAGAGGCTTATCTTCTGGCACTATATGAAACAATGTTTCATTGCTATTTTTTTTTTTTAATTTTATTTTATTTAGATTTGGGTGAAGATTTACAGAGCAAGTTCACTCTCGATACATCAGTTCACATATACTTTGTCTCATGTCATTGACCACAGTTTACCACAATGCAACAGCTCCCCTCCAATTTCGTCCCCAAGGTACCACTTCCCAGTGTCCATCCCTCCATACTCTCCTGCCCCCTGAGCTGTCTCCCTGTTTCATTGCTATTTTTAAGGATTTCAGTGGCCAATTTTTTTTTCAGAAGTTGCTGGCCCTGTTCTGCTTCATAGTTTGGCTTAGCCTGGAAGCTCCCTTGAAACCTGTCTACCATGGGTAAACATGCTGGTATTTAAAATACTGGTGGCATAGCTTCCTGCTTTACAGCAACAGGCAAGCCACCACAGTATGACAAACTGACAGACAAGTTGTGGTTCTACAGAGTACCCTATGATTTTATATCAACTCTTGTGTAGCAATCTTACTGCATTGTTAGATATTGATGGGAGAGACATATATATACCGAAGTAGATTGTGGTAGCTAAGTTTGTGTGTCAACTTGGCTGGGTCTGGTTGAGTGGCTGGACAGATAGATGTAGTATTCCCCATGATGAGACTGGTAATCAACTCCGTGGTGGACTCTACTGTGAGCAGCTGAGCAGCTGCCTTAGGGATGTGGTCTGCTTCCTGTATGTAAGGAGAAGCCCTGGGGAATGGTCTCTAGCGTATGGCATGCTTGGACCCTGCATGTAGCCATGTTGTTTTTCAGCAGCCTGCCATGCACTGCCAACCTTGGGACTTTCAATGGACTTGAATTAATGGCCTGCTGTGTGGTTTGGTAACATCAGGACTGTGCCTTTTTATTTGTTGACCTTGGGCTTGTTAGCCTCAGCAGCCAGTAGCTGCCTGAGTGAAGATATACCTCTAGCTTCAGTGGGCCGGGAACATGAGGCAGAACTGAAGCCCACGGTCAAGTGGCTTTCACACAGCCCCTAGAGCCTAGTACTTTGAACTCAAACTTAAAGCCTCCAAACTGTAAGACAATAACCTCTTGTTTGTTCAGGCCATCCCATTTGTGGTGTATTCTTGTCAGAGTGGCACTAGATAACCAAAACATAGATCTCCTCATCTTCCTCCAGAGAAGAAGTATCGACCTTCTGGTTAGCAGCCAAATGCCTTACCCACTGTGGCTGCTAACCATAAGGTTGGTGGTTCAAACCCATATTGTAGGAGGTAAAGCATTTGGCTGCTAACCAGGAGGTTGGTAGTTCAAACCCACCAGCTGCTGCAGGGGAGGAAGATGATGTAATCTACTTCTGCAAATACTTACAGCCTGGGAGAGCCAATGGGGGACACTATGAGTTGGAATCAACTTGATGGCAATGGAGTATACACACACACCCACACACACATATACACACATGATGTTTATTCACACATAGTTATATAGTTAGTTACATATATTGTTATACAAATATATATAATCATGACAAGTGTGTTGCATCACTTGCACTCACCATGCAATCTCCCACAGATACAGTGATTGGTTTTTGACTCCATGTAAGGAAAAAAGAGTTTGAAACGATTTTAATTTTCTTACAACAGCCGTGTGATAAGACATACTAAACCACTGATATAATTTAGTCCTGTAATCTAGGTAGAAAGAAAAGAACCATAGACATTCTAAGATGTAGAAAATCAAAGGAGGAAAGCTAGAAGCTCAAATAGTGAGGAAGAATAATTTACTTTAAGTAACTTCATATGAACGTTGTCATATAGGTTAAAAAAATTCAAACAAATACACCAGTAATTACTAATGTAAATGAGTTAAGAAGTCATTAAAGCAGTTCATTTTGGAAGATTTTCAGTAATCGTGATTTAGTTATGTTACTATTATGTTGTGGTATGATTATATAAACACGTGGTGGGATTCCTCTTTCAAATTTCCTTCAATAGCTAAATTATAGGAGCTCTACTGGCCTCAGAAACCCAAGGAGGCGTCGCTAGTAGTCGGATCTGACCTGAGAGCAATGACTTTTGTTGTTGCTGTTGTTAGTGGCATAGTGCCTAAGGCATTTGACTGGTAACCAGATGGCTGGTGATTCAAACCCACCAGCCACTCCTTGGAAGGAAGATTGGGCAATCTACTTCATAGAGATACTGCCTTAGAAACCCAAGGAGGGGTGGCTATGAGTCAGAACCTACTCAATGGCAGTAAGTTTGGTTTTTTGGGTTTAGCTAAATTATACTGTTTTAAATGTCAGTTCAAACAGAACAAGGAGGTACTGCATGGTTTAAAATCAGGAAAGGTGTGCAGGAGGGCTGTATCTTTTCACCATGTTTATTTGATCTGTACACTTAGAAAATAATCTGAGAAGCTGAAGAATGTGGCATTAGGATTGGAGGACTCATTAACACACTGCAATATGAAGATAATACAAGCTTTCTTGCTGAAAGTGAAGAAGACTTGAAGAAATTACTGATGAAGATCAAAGACTATCGTCTTCAGTATGGATTACATTGCCACATTAAAAAGGAAAAAAAAAAAAAAAACCCTCACAACTGGACCAATAAGCAGCATTATGGTAAATGGAGCAAAGATTGAAATTGTCAAGGATTTCATTTTCCTTGGATCCACAATCAATGCTCACGGAAGCAGCAGTCAAGAAATCAAATGATGACATATTGTGTTGGGCAAATCTGGTGCAAAAGACTTCTTTACAGTATTAAAAGAGCAAAGATATCACGTTGAAGACTAAGGTGGACATGACCCAAGCCATGGTATTTTCAACTGTCTTTTATGTGTGCAAAAGCTTGACAATGAATAAGGAAGAGTAAAGAAGAATTGATGATGCCTTTGCATTATGGTGTTGGTGAAGAATATTGAAGATACCACGAACTGCCACACGAATGAACAAATCTGCCTTTAAAGAAGTACAGCCAGAATGCCTCTTAGAAGAAAACATGGTGAGACTTCATCTCACATGCTTTGGACATGTTATCAGGAGGGACCAGTCCCTGAATAAGAATATCATGCTTGGTAAAGCAGAGGGTCCATGAGAAACAGGAAGATCCTCAAAGATGCATTGACCTAGTGGCTGCAACATTGGCTCAAACCTGGCAATGCTTGTGAGGATAGCGCAGGAAGGGCAGAGTTTTGTTCCGTTGAACACAGAGTCACTATGAGTTGGAGCTGACTCAATGGCACCTAACAACAACAAATGTCAGTGGTGTAGAAAATAAACCATTCTGGAGGATAAGTGCATATTTGAGAGGTGGCAGAATCAATGGGAAGTCAAATCTTGAAGTAAAGATAAGAAATAACAAACACAGAATAAGGGGGAAATCATTAAAGTAAGAAAACTACTTTAACTATGTATAGTTTATAAAGCAGATGAAAGGCAATTTCTGAAGACCAGTTTTAGAAATGTACAGGCAATAAGATTGGAATAAGTACATAGCTTCCTAGATGATACCTAAGATCAGCTCTAGGTCACATCTCTTGTTGGGGGCTATTTATTTCTTAGTAATACAGGCTTACTGGAAAGACACCAAATTCAAAAGCGATTGTAACCACATACTCTATTTTCAACAATATCATTTGGATCAGTTCTCAAAATTCTTTAACTTCGTGAACTTTTTTTTTTTTTTTTCTTTTCAGGAAAATCTCAGAGCAATGTATTTCAAACATACATTTCAATCAATAATTTTGCTGTATACTTTCCTACATGTCCTTCCATGTTAAAGGACACGTCACTACTATTGAATTCATTATTATTATTATTATATAGTATTCCTGATTCTACAAACCTAAAATTTGGAGAAGAAACTCTGGTAGCACAGTGAATAAAACAGTAGGCTGCTAACCCAAAAGTCAGTGGTTGGAACCTACCAGCCGCTCTGCCAAAGAAAGATGTGGCAGTCTGCTTTCATAAAGATTTACAGCCTTGGAAACCCTATGGAGTGGTTACTCCTATAGAATCTGTCCTATAGAATCCCTATGAGTCAGAATCATCTCCATGGCAGTGGGTAGTGGAAAACTTGGAAATCCATTCAAATTACAAATTCTAAAGTAACAATTTAACAGCTTGTTGTTATGTAAAATGGGGATAGGAAAGCTTCCAAGATAAGAGAACACTTGCCTAACAAATGAAAATATGAAAGCTCTTAAACTGAAAAACTTTGACCTCTTTTTTTTTTTTTGACAAAAATTTGTTTAATATACACACACATACACACACACGCAACAGGCTAACCAAAAGCACATTTAAAAATTTAATGCTAGGAGTATATCTGTTAATAATTAATAGAGTTCATTTAGGGAAATTTTGAGATGGTCAGATAAATTTAGAAAAACATTACAAAAATGCAAGCTATTTTATCAAACTGCATATTGGATTGTTCTAATTTGAATAGCTTTCTCTTATAGTTCTGCCTGTATTAGTTTGTTGGGGCTTTTTTTTTAGAGAAAGAATCCCATCATAGTTTGCTACTAATGAAGCCTGTGGTGACCTACTGTTTAGTTAAAAGAAATTTGCAGGGACTAAATAGGTCACCTTCCCCAACTCTACTAGAACAATTTAGTACGCAGTGATTTGATTTGAGAAAAATAAAGGAAAAAAAGTAAACATTAGCAACTATGTTACTAATAGTATATATTTTTATTAAAAAGTCTCCGTTTACCTCGCATGGACCTGATCCAATCTTTTCAGCCCCAGCACATATTTCAGACTCATTCAGAGTTACCTTCCCTTGATGATATTGGCTGCATTTCTCATTTCCCATAATATAGAGATGAGCTACTCTCAATAGGCCATCGGAGTTGATCACTAGAAAGCAAATATATATATATATATATATGTATATATTTATATAAAATAAACATGACATTACTACATGATACTGCCTTTCTCTTTTTAGAAAACACTTACATCCAGTGTAGCCCCAGCCATAAACACTGCAAGTGGTCTTTTCAGGAATCGTGCATCCGTAATTAGGTAAGTCAATTGTACTAACAAAGTCATCCAGGACTGCAGGCCTGGGGAGAGAAAATAGCCAACACACAATTTACACACTAAAATGTATTGTTTGTGTTTAATATGATATTTAGAGAGAATAAATAGTCTTATTATATCAAAAAAAGAAAATGTGAATCCGATATAGAATATAGATTAAGAACGGAAGTAGAGAGATGAGTTATTTATCTGCTGTTATTTAAGAATAAAAGGTCACTGCTATATGTTTAGAAAAGTACATCACTGTTTTACAGATTAAATTATCAAATAACAGCTCATTCAGCTTTCAGTTTAAAGCAGGACTGTTGACCAACTTCATTCTTAAAAATGCCTCTCTCTCTCTCTTTCTTTCTCTCTCTCTCTCTTCATATATATATATGGTTGGGCAGGCAATCTACTTCTGTAGTGATACTGCCTCAGAAACCCAAGGAGGGGTTGCTATGAGTCGGGTCTGACTTGACAACACATAACAACAACAACAACAATAACTTACACATATATTCTGTGGTCTTTTATAATAAATCTAGATGAGAAGGAAGAATAGCTATCGAGCTGAAGGCAATACTTCAACAATTCTAGTCTAGGATAAAATACAACTCTTCTACAGGAACTAACCTAGCAAGCTTCAGTAATACTAGGTCTGATCCTTCAGGCCCGTATACCAGCTGGGAGACATTGAGAACCTGCTTGCGTTTCTCATCTCCTCTACCATGGACATCATGGATTCCCAGCCAAGCTTCATAATCTTTCAAGTCTCTGTTTCTAAATTTGAAAAAAAAAATGTAAAACATGATTATAAATTTTGTAATATAATTAAAATATATTGTTAGTTTAGCTTATAAAGGCAGTAAAATAATGTAAATTCACAATTTTATTCTAAGTATAATAAATAGCAATATTTTTATTAAAGGAGATTCTGAATGCTACAAGCAAATATGAGCAGAAAGAGCTTTTACATTTTTGAAATTCTAAACTTTCTTAGGTAAAACACATCACATGAACTATAATTTACTACAAATTTTGCTTTACTTATCAAAATTTAGTATATATTTGATTTGTTAATGGGGGTTGAAGGTTTATACATCAAGGGATCTTGAGGAGAATCAAGAAATAATGGTTTCTCACTATTTTTTCCTTAGCAAATTTTCATTAAAAATTATTCCCAGCATGATTGAGACCATTTTTACATAAGGATCAGTGAAGACTGAAAAAATAATACTGACAATTCAGCAAAAGTACTTATAAATAGATTCATAGAGTACAAATAGGAGGTTCAGGTCTACGTTATGTGCATAATTTTAGCTACAATTTCCTCCAAATTAGACTAAATCCCTGCAGGTTATGCTAATTGTGAAAAGAGGTAAATGAAAATACTATTTATAAGTAGGTAGACAAAGTAAGTTTTGTAAGGTAAATCTGAAAAATGAAACAATTCGTTCACTCCATGCTGATAAATCTCCATAAAATGAATACACATTTTTAAGCTTAAAAGAAAATGAAAAACATATATATTTTAAAATACTCAAAACAAATATTTGTTTCAAAAACACTTTACCGGGACGGGAAACATTGTCTTGCAGTAAGAACCCAACTCTCCTTTATCAATGATCCTCCGCAGATATGTTTATTTCTGTGAGAAAGTGGAAAGAGAAACAAGTAACATCTGTGTAGAGTGTCTGCCAATGAACGCAAATCCTATGGCTCTGTTTGTTAACAATAAACCAACTAGAGGAGAAACTTTAGAAAGTGACTCATCCAGATAAATGGATCTTCTATTTTTCTGAAGGGAGATATCTGTTGTTGGTAGCCTTAGCACTTCTTTTTTCCCATAATATGATCATATTTTTATGAAATTGATTTTTTTGTTTAACTTAAAGAACTCAGTTACTACATGCCAACATCTACTCCTTACACACACTTTGATAGATGTACAGCTCTGCCTTTGTAAGAAGTTACGTGCTACAAATAAAGGACAACTAGAATGGAAAAAAAACTATTTAAAATTAAGTAACTACAAAGAATATAAATTTGAATTCATACTTAAACTCTGAAAGTCATCTAGTGATAGCAGTATGTACTTGTATGCTGATACGTTAACTTAGATATGACTGGATTGCAATGAATTTGGTCAGTTTAAGACCAGCAATATAAAATTAAAACAATTTTGCAAGACAAATCACCTAGGAAATAGTAAAACATTTATAAAGAATAATAAATGCTAGTCCATGTATTATTCACTGATATCCAAATTCTGTAAATCCATTATTTTTTTGGCAGCGACGTGGACAAAAGTACAACTTTTCACGATTTACATTTCCAAAGAGTACAGATGTTCAGTGCTTTGGAGAGCAATACAAGAAGATTCCCAGACTAAAACCACAGTTATTTATGTTCTGTACCACACAGGAGGATAAGAGTGTAATATCAAGTTTTAATTTCTATCTTTCTCAATATGTATTTTGGAAGAATAACTAAACAGCTGTTTTAACTAAGAACTTGGATTTAAAAGAAAAAAAATGTTTTTTAAAAGCTTATAATACTCTAATCTGATGAAAAAGTGTGTCCTCTACTTCCTGAATTTTAAATACAGACTACCAAAGGAACACCCTTGTACATTCTCTGATTGGTGAAAATAACTCAGAAGTGCATGGCTCTTCTCCACCCCCACCCCCACCCCCACTCCTGCCAACCCCAGGTTTGTGAGGTTAGCAAAAAGTCACTAATTAATTCAAATAAAGAATATTAACCACTCCAAATATTTTAAATCTTGAGAGTCTCTATTAACTCTTCATACAGTGCAATTAGCTTTAATTTTTTGGCAACTTTCACAATCCTATTTCAGTACTACCCACCTAGGACAGCTACTACACTAGAATGATCTGGCATACATATTTATGAGATCTGACAAATTACTCCTCCAGAGGAACACACTGAAAGAGAGCTTTAGGCCATCTCACAACATTATAGCAATCTCAAATGCCCTGGTATGTAGAGACATCAAAGGATGCAGTGTTCAAGTTGTCTCTATTCTACTTTACTCTCACGGTGTAAAATGTATAATCTGTTGCTTTACTATTAGAGGCTAGGGGTAAAGGAACAGGGGTGTTTCTACAAAGAAGAGACATCTGAGCTGGGATTTGAGGAATGAAAAAGAATTTACGTACATATATTTTGGAGGAAGAAAGTCATAAAAAACGCAGTGGAAAATATCAGTATCAAGGCTTGGGGTGTGGGGAACATGGGGTATCTAGAAAACAGGGGGAAATGATTAGAATATACATACATTTTGGGGTGTTGTACATAAAAAGGTTCTTTTGTAGAGAGTCATAGACAGTGCATTAACATTCTGAATATCATGTGGTATATTGCCCAGCCTTCCTTCCACATAATAGATATAGGACATGGAAAATGTAAAGTCAAATTTTATGTTACCTCCTATTTTCAGTGTGGAGTTCTATTTATGTGGCAAATATATTGAGCTTAATAAAGTTTGCACAACGCTTTTATATAGAATATGTCATTGATTCTCAAAATCATTGTGAAGAGATGTTAAGAATTTTTTAATCTACAATATGGTATCAAGAATATCCAACTATCAATATACTTTGGTAATCCTTTTCTGAATCAAAAAACCCTAGAATTTAGAATTATTGCTATTTTTCATTAAACAATATCAATTACTTTAATTTAAATAGAAAAAAATCAGAAAATAAACAAAAATACGAAATTTCTGGTATTCATAGGCATGTTGGAAAATAAAGTAATTATATCCTCTGGTAGCATAGTGCCTAAAGGCAATTGACTGCTAACCAGAAGGCTGGCGGTTCAAACCTACCGGCCACTCTTTGGAAGGAAGGTTGGGCAATCTACTTCCGTAGTGATACTGCCTCAGAAATCCAAGGAGGGGTCGCTATGAGTCGGGTCCGACTCGACGGCACACAACAACAACAACAACAACATATCCTAGATTGGTTTCTTGGTTCGCTACTGCTGCTGTAACAGAAATACCACACGGGGATGGCTTCATCAAACAGGAATTTATTGTCTTACAGTTCAGGAGGCTAGAAGTCCAAATTCAGACTGCTGGCTGTAGGGGCTGGATGAAGGCCCCCTTGATCTTGGGCTTCCTGCCTCCTGTTTCCGGAGCTGGAGACTTTTTCTGAGTCACGCAGCTGCTGATTGCTCAGACTGACGAGCCCAAGACCGATAGGTAAAATGGCACAATCCCAAAACTGGCAGGCGACACGGCAGACCAAGACAGGGCCAAACGCACGGTCCAATGTGCCAAAAGCTGGACACCTCTCTCAAAACTTCTGGAAGTAGGCAAAACCCCGAAGGCAGTTGCTTAGCTGCTCACTGCAGATTCCGCCATAGAGTTAATTACCAGTCTCATCACAGGGAATAACTACATCCAGCTGCCAGCAACTCACAACTACAGCCCAGCCACGGTGACACATAACCTTAACTACCACAACTAGGACATTAATATTAAATACATTAAATATTTAATGTAAATACTATGGTGATATCAGTGTAGAATGTAAGAAGATCCTCTGTATAGTCTGCTTAATCAGAACCAAAGTGTCGCTTTCAATTAAGGACACTGCCAACATGGAGGGGACCTTTCTGAATATTTAAAAAGGCACTGCCTCTGGAAAAACGAATTGCAAAACTCAGGGCTCACAGCTGGCAAGTCGAATGTGACCAGTCTACTGAGGGACCTGCTCAGCTGAGTACTCAATCTGCATGACCCATGTGGCCATACTGCTGATAAGGTAATATTTGCAAACAATCTGGATAAATACTATTTGTGCCAATTAATAATTACCTGTGTTTCAAACTAACCATCCATCCTACATTTGTTCGCGTTGGAATCCCATTTACAACTCGCAATTGTTTAGTTTTGGCACATGAGATTACAGGATCTGAAAACAGGAACAGACATAACATTTAAAAATAATTAGTGCCTTTTGGCTTTCTTAAGTGGAATAACAATTAGATGAATGTAACTACTGTAATTGTGTCAGTGAATATCTTGAAGAAAGAGTAAATATCATGACCACAATGTCAAAATGGGCCAAAAATGCTCTCATTCCATCTCCAGAGCTGGGTAACACAGATAGTTGGTCAACTCAGGGCAGACTGGCTTGCTGTGACAGTAGCAGTGTTTTCTAAATCACTGCCAAAATCAAGATAAAACAAAACAATGTTATTTGTAGTGATTATTTCTAAATGTCTCTGAAAATCAGTGGAGGGGGAGCTATTTCTAGTCATTACTTCGGAATTAGTACAGTATGTTAATATATTAATATTCTTATATTAAGCTATTTTGAACATGTTACCAACCTGATATTTATTGAAATTGTATTCAAACGACATAATTTTTATATCCACATCATTATTTTCAAGCGATATAATACAGAACTCTTTGGAATAAACCTTATCCTGACCCTCTGCTATGTTACTTGCCTTATCCTTTCTACTCTTTTCCATGACCTAGAATAGATTTGTATTTGTTTCTTCAGCCTGGGGCACAACACATGGTTCTAAGATCAAAACACTTGATTAATTTCCTTCAGCCCCAAAAATATGTGAAAATGAAACAATGAAAAACAAGCAGCTCTCAACAGATCTTCTTAAACTGAGGATTAACTGAACCTCTCCGATTGTGTCTTCTTTTGTCTGGTAGACTTCAGGGCATGCAAAAACTTTGAAGATTGAACAGAAGAGATATATATCATAATTTTTAACACTTCCCATTTCATTCTTTTTGACTTTAGCATCCTTGTGAAGGTCCATTATACACATTGTGCCCCAAGTTAAAAGCAAATATAAATGTTCTTTCAAAGTCAAGTATAATATCCAGGAGATTTTTCCGAGTATTGACTTTTAATATTCAGTATGCAGTTGCCTTTGCAACTTTTTAACTTATGATCTAGAAAAAACATAATTGAACAAACAAAACAAATAGTTCTAACTTATTTTTTTTATGATGGAAGTTGACTACGAAGAAAATAATGTCATTTCTGATATAGAGAGACTCAGAGATACTTTGTCATTTGAAAGCTTACTTACGGTCCAAGTTGACTATTGTAGGTGTGGTATCGCCTTCACCTGTAAAAATAAATATATACGTATATAATTTACAGGCAGTCCCAGGATTATATATGAGATCTGTTCCCAACTTTGTCTTCAAGAATTTTAGGTTGATTGGAACAGGTGCATTTGGTTCTTACTTAGGTTTACTTTACTGCAAGAAAAGCCTCAAATGCTCTTCAATTTAAAAGCTGCAAGTGCAACAAGTGAAAGTTACTGTGAGGGCAAATTTTACATAGGCATAAAACAGGTTTTGAGCTGAAACAGCACAGTCCCACTCAAAGATGGCGACTGACACTCCCCCATGCCCCAGCTTTGAATGTGTGTGGCTCTCCATGGTGCCTTCAGTAATCCAATCTCAGGCATCAGGCTCCTGAAAGGGTTCACTTTGCTTCTTCCAAGTCTTCTATTCCTGTAAGTTTTCCTATCTCAGTTGCAAATCACCCAAATTATTAAAATTCAAGTCAGTTTTTGTTTCACTTTGGTGGACATAATAGAGCCAAAAGGTTTGAAACCCTGCTTAAAAGATAAGAGCAATTGTCCATAAGTCAGATATTTGTAATCTGGGGACTGCCTGTATTCATATATATTTCTGTCTGGTGCCTCTGGTGCCCTAATGCCTAAGGCATTTGACTGCTAACCAGAAGGCTGGAGGTTCAAACCCACCAGCCACTCCTGGGAAGGAAGATTGGGCAATCTACTTCTGTAGTGATACCACCTTGGAAAACTAAGGAGGGGTCGCTATGAGTAAGATCCAACTCTACAGCAGTGGGTTTGGGTTTTTTTTTTTAAAGACCAAATCTAGAGATATCCAAACATCCAAAAATTGGATAATTTACTATATTTCTTGGCATATTTTTCTGAGATAAAATATAATACAGATAGTCTTTGACTTACAACAGGATTCCCTTCCTTCAACTCTGACATAAGTTGAATACTTCTTTTTTTGGGGGGAGGGGGTTTCATTATTATTG